AGGGTATTGAATCCACTCCGACTATTGTATTAAATCATTCTACATATGTTACTGCGGAGAAAGATAGACATTTCTAATATACCCTGTATTTCAACAAGAGCTTCATATTATTGTCTGGTTTCTTGTGTATCTCAAGAAAGCTGGATTTGAGCTGCTCCTCAGTCTAAGAAAAGACTTGGCATCAACAAATGCAGAAATCTCGTGTCACTTTCCAATCTTTCTTAGCTCCCTCGATTGCCGCAACTCTGAATCGCTGAAGAGATTCTATTGTTAGTTTTCACAATCCAGAAGCGACGACACACCATTTTAGCAACAAAGGAGAGTGAAGAAGAATCAGGAGGGTGTGTGGATAAACATTAATCATCAAGGTTAGTAGTACCAACTTTTCTTTAACGGTTACTTTAGTTATGTGGACATTAAGAATGTTTTGGACCAATTGCTCCAATACCCTTCTATCTCTAACTCAATTCAATTGTACCCTTCTCTATTCTCCTTACCCTTCTTATCTTGTGATGACGATTTTGCCCTTAACGGATTTTTAAATCATTAATAAACACTCAATTATCGACCAATCAGAAAAGAGTACTATTGAACCAATCAAAACAGGATCCGATTTTGGTCAGAAATCGAAAGGAATTGGTCCGAAATCTTGATCAATCTTGTCCGATTTTGGATCGAAATTCGAAGTCCATCAAACCGTGAGAGTCGGCGACGGCGAGGTAGGAGGTCGGCGACGCGTTATAAATCCTGCAGAAMCCCAGACCAGAACTCGTCTATTCTTCTCTTCGCAGCTATTGCGGAAACTTCTTGCTGTAGATTTGTGGTAGTTCGAGCAATTGGTCCATTACAGAGCTTCTTTGCAGGTATATCTCATTTGTTTTGTTAGTATTTTTCCCGTTAATTGACTTGAAACATAATGGGATTGATCCAAGGATTTGATTTGGCTTGGTTTGTCTTGTAATTTTGTGAATTGATGGATTAGGTATAGTACAGATTATGAGTCTATATATATATACGATTTGATTTTCACTACATTTTAGTTCTTTACGTCTAGTAGTACGCTTTGTCTTGAAATGCATTTTAGTTCATTAGGTATAGTGTAGTGATATTGGAGAATTGTGAAGTTGA